TGAGACCACCACGTTCTGCTGCACGCTTGAGTAACTTGGATGTCACTACTCCGTACATAATGAACAGGTTTGTCCACTGCTAGGTTGTCCCACGCTACAGATAATCGACGTAAAATTCAGTCATCATCTTATCCTAGGTAACAAATTCCTTTACCGCCAATACAACTGTGATTATAGTTGGAGTAGCCGCAAAAAAGTTAAAAGAACATTTCCCGACTCCAACTTGATGATCCGTCTAGAGAATTAAGGGGGTATATCTAACGTCAGATATACCGGATAAAGTCAGGTACCAAAGTCACTGTCAGCACACCCTTCCATGATCCATCATCTTTTCCCCCTCTTTTCCTAATCCCCTGAATGGATCAAATGGAATGTCGCCTGCATCAAGGCCCAACTTTTTTATCTGCGGCCCCGGCATATCAAAATCTATCAATTTTGTATGGTCCATCTTTGCGTTCTTTTTTTCTTGCCAGGTGAGAAATTGTCAGCGTTTCCGGAAACGAGAGGTGCAAAGGTGTTCCTGAACCGAGACCTCAGATTATAAATTTCATGTCGTGTAACTATCCACTTGCAAACTCCCATGCAACTTGCAAGAATATCCTGTACTCGAAGTACAAATCATCTCTCTTCTTCTTCCCACTTCCATCATAAACACTTTTTCTGGAGTCTCATGCATTGTGCATAAACTTAGGTACCTCGAGCATTAGTTTGGAAGGTTTTGACGACAATGATCGTCTTCTTCCCTTTGATTCCCCACTGATTGATCACTCGTACATCAGGAAACAGAAAGATCCGAAGCTTCACCTCAAGAGTTCAAAGTCAAACCTCTAAGACTACACGTTTATAATGGAGACCCTATCAGGATCTCCAAGGGATTCCACTTTCAATTATCCATATCTGTACCGCCTTTGGCGACAGATCTCCCGCACATCAAAGGCACATACATAACGTACTAGCCAGGGCATCGTGGGTTTACTGTCACCAAAATGGGGTCGCAGAACTCATGACCATATTCAGGGACACTTAGGTCTACCTATCAACTGCAAAAGTCGCCATCATCCTAGTAGATACGTTTCTTCTGCTCAAAGTATGATTTTTGAAAGTCCGATGTTGCTCCTGCATCAATGCAGATGCGAATACTTCCTTGTCCTGTATCGGCTGCCCCCGCCATCCAATCTGAGCTGACTTCTTATGGGCTATTGTTTCAGTCAACGAGTATCATTCCTCTTGAGTCTTGACTCGCTTTACCCCTCTGAACCCTCTTGATTCATACAGAGATATAATTCGACGGAAGGGGATAGTTTATCTTGGAGATCTACCAGTACTGGTACCTTTGACACCCATGATCCATGATCCATCAAGTTACCAAGTCAAATGCGAAAGTATTGAAGCCAATCGGGATTGTTTGATTTTAACTGACTGCCTAGGAAATCGTAAGGTGGGGAAGAGAGAGTTTGGGTTTTCATTTCAATTGGTGAGACCATCTGAACTTTTTCTCAAGTTCTCCCTATGGAAGGGATTCGGGAAGGTCCAATTTTGACAGCGGACATCCCGCCGCTGGTGGAAAAGACTTTGACTAAAAGCTAAGACCATCGCGGGACGTCGGATAAGAGGGTTGATATCTACCAATCCTTTGACGAGCACCAACATACGAAAACAATCCAGTGGGATAATACGGGAAAGAGACGAGGCACCTTTTGCAATCGATACTTTCTTCGAATCCTCGATACAATCATGCTAAACGATCTCTAGATTTCAGCTTTTTCGTATCAAAATGTGATCATTTAAGGTCATTTAAGGTCTTCTAAGGTCAATCCCTTCCTTCGGCACCACGTATTCAATATTTACAGCGTTCATGGCCTCTCCTTAGACCACAACAACGGCCTAATCAAGCGAAAATTCAAGCATTTGGGTCACTGTCAAGCCCTGTATCTCACATGTGTACAAGCTCTCATCCAGTACTTTTTTGCCTTACAACCAACCATTACCGTACTTCATAGGTACCATTATTATTATCCTTATCCATACAATTAAACAACACATCAGCTCAACCAAACTTGGATTTTACTTCATCAAACCTTGATCCTTCATCCATTATGCATTATTGTCACTAACCACCTGGGCAGTGGGCAGTCACTCCACCCTCATCGTGGAATTCCACCAATTCTGTTTACTCTTCAACCCTACCCAACTTCAATTATTCAACAAACACAAACCACATCTACCTAGATATGACGATTTTATATTGATACCTGCTTGAATTCGATATATTTCTTGATCGGCACCCAGCTGGATCGTTCTAATATTCCAGGAGATCGTCATTGATCCGAGGCACTCTGGAGTCTGAACAACTGGATTGATACCCAAATTCGGATCATATTTACCTCTTTTTATCCTCCCAACACTCCACTTCTAAGTCAAAGGACTTTCTTCAACTCTAGGGCCCTAAGTATTCGATTATTGCGTCAAACTCGCAGGGTGAAAACATCCTTTTCATGACATCCCACTTTGATGTTGCTCCACTGTGCCCATCTCAAGAGCTTGCCACGGGTCTTTGAAAATTACCCCTCATGTTCATCGGGAAGATTCTTTGGTGGTTTTATGTGACTCAGTACCTGATTACCATCTTTAGGATCGATTTACTTGAGATTCTTATGTACGTCATTCTCCTTTGATTGAGACGGCAAGTGCGTGATCTTCGATGGAATAGGCTGTTTTCGATTTTGCTGTAAGCTATCTATCTGATTTCCTTTCCCTAGCCTGATTGTGCGGCAGCGAGCTTACAAAATTGCCTCGTACCAAGCCGGGGCATTGGACCATTCAAACAGAGGATTCTAGTTGTCTTTCATACCTAGTACTAGGTATACATTCTTTATATAGATATCTTGTTACAATAAGGATAGGATCCTATTACGCAGATGTACCCCATGCTTTTCAAATCCATCTTGTCAAAATTCATATAAAGAAGGCTGCAGAAAATAACCCCGCCTATTTGTTTCATTATTATTATTATTTTGGAACATCATGTACGCCCATATAAGCCACCCCAAGAAGCAGCTGAAATTCAAAATCCTAGCCCTTACTTAATCCTACTCAACGTTTATTACCCCTCATCTCATAAGCCGGGCGCAAAGCCAATCTGATCCGCATCCTCATTAAGACAGCGCTTAAAGTTAGACATCTAAAACTGATCCCAATAAAGATCATTCTGACACAACATCAATAAACACCGTGTTGTGTTGGTACTCATCGTTGATTTCATCACGAGACAATATTTGGAATAGCATCATTTTCTTCATTGTCTCTTCTCTCGTGTCCCTTTTTATCTAGTTTCTCTTTCGATGTTTCTCGGCATTTGGACGCAGGAGATCCATTGTCTCGATACGAAAAAATGCCACCACGGTGCAAAATATCTTCTGTAGTGTGATCTGACATTTTCCGCGTTGGTATCGCACCGCATCACACAACTATGCCTGTCTGCATGTACCACCAATGCCCCTCGGTGTAACGCGCTTACCCTCCACGTTCCAATGTCCAATGTCAGGCTGATTATCGTTATCGATATCGAGGAGCCGCATCTCCCATCTCTCCATAGACCAGGTCTCCATTGATCAGGTAAGTAATAATCCCTACATAATATCAATGTGACGTGAATATCTCTGTGAACACAAACAATCACACACATCACACACACACACACATTTGTCACACTCTACTCGGTGATATTCCTCTTTGGCGCCTAGACAGCCTGGTGTGGACGTGAATGTGAATGCGAATGTGAATGTGGCGTTCCGAACACACAAGGCTGGCTGTTGTGATGATGGGATGGGGAAGAGAAGACATCGGTCGGTCGTCTTTCTTTTGGATGGGATCACGACGGGAGGAAAACTTGGGGCTTTTGGGGCTTTTGGGGCTTTTGGGGTTTCCTGGGTCCCTTTCCCAGCATATGTATATGTATATGTGGGTATATGTATGTGTATGTGTATGTGTCTGGCGTGAGATGGAGATGGAGATGGAGATGGAGATTGTTGGGAAATGCTCTCTTCGATCGTGTAAAGATGGTTTTCTTTGCCGGGACGGTCACTTGGTCCTGTGCGATGGATGTTGTTTTTGAGGTATTGTGTGTGTGTATGTATGTATGTATCTATGTATGTATCTATGTATATCTATGTACGTATATATGCATGTATCTTTAAGAGCTTGGAAATCAAGAATGGTTACAATATCAAAGTACCTACTGTAAGCATACATACAATAGATAGATAATAACTCACATAATAATAAGTACCTATATAAATATAATATTCATATTCAACAAATCATTGCACCATCCGCCAAATTTTCCAACCGTTTGATTGATTAAACGCGCGGATTGTAAAGAACATCCAAGATGTAAAATAACTTCAACTTGGATGTTTTCCAACTATAGTACAACTTTTTTATAATGTGTACGTACGTTTTACGAGGTCAAGATAGCAGGGAGGCGCTGATATGGATTTATTCATATTGGACAACGGGATATCGATGTCGATATTGAAAGCCCAGAACTAATAATAATAATAAACAGAGGTATTCCAAGGTTGTCAATCTAGTTAGGTATGCAAAAATGAGGTACAATACTAAGGTAACTGATATCCAAACTAAACAGCATCAGTTATCAGTTGTCAATCGCAACAATAATAACATATATACCTACCTACATACATCATACATCATATATACCACCGCGCTTCGAAATTCTATCCTATATCTACCTATATTACTTACCTACCAACCAATAGCCTGCCTTATTGCATCTTAAGTTCCAATATGTAATTATATTGGAAAAAAATGACCCCTCTCCACAACCTAGTACTTACTGCCCAGATGCTCTCCACCATCCCACCAACCAACACCCCACTTCCCACCCCACCCCAAATAAAAATCTCTGCACTCCCCTATCTATCAATAAATAATACCCCAAACTCCCCCCCCTCCACCCATCAAAATTGATAAAAATATCCGGCATGGTGTAGTGGCTAGCATTTCCGCCTCTCATTCGATATTCTCAATCACTGAGTACGTCGACGGTCGCGGGAGACCGGGGTTCAATTCCCCGTACCGGAAATACTCTTTTTCTAATTTTATCTTTTTTTTTTTTTTGGGGAGTTTTGGAGTTGAGATTCTTTGGGTGTTTGTGATGTGATTGATGGGTGAAAAATTGGTTTTTTATTTTACGGCATGAGATGAGTGAGTGAGTACAAAAGTGGGGATGAGGTCGTGCGTGGTTTGGTTACATATCCCGGTATGGGATGGATGGACCATTCCCCCCATCCGAGCGTAGTTTTTCTTTTTTTGGCATGTTGTTAACTAACATATGTTGCATGTTTCTATGAGTAGAGTATGAGAGAGATAAGATAAGAGAGAGCTACTTTTATTTTGTCTTCGTTTACTTATTGGGTGGAAGAGGAAGAGGAAGAGGAGGGGGTGGATAGGTTTGAGTGAGGGGAATGATAGGTTTTTGGGGAGCGAAATATCATGGGAGAAGAGAGGGGGGAAGTGAGTGAAGAACAGGAAAGGGGAGAAATATCATATACCGGGAAAATTCTACATATCCAGATTAGATGGGGCACGGCGACTATAGGAGCTATGAGAATAAAACAAAACATAACACCCATAACCCGATACCATATTCTATAAAATACATCCCCGCCTAACTAACTATCCTAACTAGAGTGTTTCTTCAGCGCTCTAGCTAGCCTCCGCATTGTTATTCAACGCGGATTCATTAGCTTTAGCAGCTGCCTTCTTCACCTTCGCCATCGCCGCCTGTTTGCCGTTTCCTGTTTGCTATATAACCCCACTCCCAGTCCTTTTTCCTCAAACTCTCATCATGGCATGATGGTTTCCTCATATGGTCTCTGCTCTGTTCTGACTGAATTCCCAGTAAATAAAGTCATTTCAACATAACCTGCCTTCATGGCCACAGACCAACAATTTCAGTAGACGATTCTTTTCCGCATAACCTGCCAACATGACCACGAACCAAAAATTACAGTGGAGAACTCTTGACCTCTTTGACCGGCGCATGACTTCCTTCCCTCGCCCACTTGAAGAAAGTTCAAGAAATGAAAAGAAGATTCGAAAAGAATATTGTATGGTGACCTAGCAATAATGGAAAGTAAATATATTAATCCCCATGGGTCCAGACTACCCAATGGAAAGGATGTTAACCCTAAATATACAACGGACAGAGATATTTCAATAAACACATGACTTGAACAAGTAAAAAGCCATTGATGAGAAGAGGAGCACCGCAAATATCGGAGCTACCAGATTATCGAAAGAACCAACGATTGATCAAATAATGTGTCTGTCTAACTAGAGATGGAGGTCGTAACGTATCTTGTAACCCAAATCTTATTGTCGACCAGTGGACTGTCATCCGATTCTTCATAGTGTTGCTGCTGATTCCGAAATTCTCTTCCACGCTGAAGATGGGCTGGTGAGAGTTCTTTCAGTTGTAATGAAGATCCATGCTGGTCTTTTGATTGATTGGATTGTTTTCTGTTACGTAGATAGGTATTTGAGAATTTGGTTGCTGAAGCTGAGTTACCTTGCGTCGAGGAAAGCCAATCGTTGATGCTTTTTGGAAGTTTGAAGTACGCTTTGAGTATAGGTCTGAATGTTGGGACGCATGCTCCTAGGATGGCGCTTCCTTCTTCAATCATCAACCATTCAACTGCGGTGGAAAACCCAGAGACTGCGTTTATGTTAGTGAGATCCAGACAGGAACGTCGACTTAGACTCCTTACGATGCTCTGGATCATGGGGATTGTAAGAGTATGCTATGCGTAAGATGCATGTCACAATGACGCTATATTCCATATTAGTCAGTGGCAAGCCATTTTCATGTTTGGAAGGATGATTTGACTTACAACCCGCCAAACCAGAATACCAAGAATAGGAGCATCTTCTTACGTATAGGTACATGAAGGTCTCTGATGACAAAAAAGGGAAGGCTGAGAATAACAATGTCCAAAACTGCATTAGGCAGTTCGAAGGCAAGAACAAGAGCGCCGTATGGAATGCAATGTGTGTTGGGTTGGGTTCTAAGAGCTATATCATATGCAGCTCTGATAGGTGTGCATCCCAAGATCGTCAAGCATACAGCGACGATAAACCATAATGTGCATAATCCCATTGTGATATCCACACAGCGAATGAGATTTGGGGTTGTTACAAATAGAGAGCGGTACATGCATAAAATCGAGATTTTAACGGCTGTGATGACGAACGGAAAGTGTATGCTACTAATCCATAACATCTATGGAAGTGTCAACTCAACATCAACAGACAAAATGTGACTATAAAAGAATTACCTTGAGCATTTCCAATCGACGATCTGGATTCAAGACTAGAGCTGGCTCGAATGTACCTGCTATCTTTGAGATGTCTATTTGATGTGTGAATACATATTATTTGCTTCGGTGACTGTATGTACTCACCACAAATGATCACAATACATTGCGAAGCGTACATCAGATAAGCTGCAAGAATCCACCAGTCATCGGTGCGGATGAATTGCTTAGTCGTGGTCGTCTTTCTAGTATGAATTCTCGAGATGAGGCGCAGAACTAGAGCTATTGTGTCTATGACCAAGAACGAAATGGTCGCCTCCAAGTTGGCCATTCCATCTGGTAGAATTGCAACCATGATTAAAAGATTTTTTGACTATACCAGCACAATTGTAACAATAGAGGGATGGAATAAAAATATGGGGATGTCTACATGATGTAGATTGAACTATGAAAAGATTTATAACCAAGATACCAAGATACCAAGTGAATAATAAAAATCACACCAGGAGAGTCTAAGCTAAAGGATAAAGGAGGATTGATAAGTAGTATGATTCAGAGGATTTGAATGATTCTCCATAATCTCGGATGAATCATAAGAAGCATAATATTAAATCAGTAATGCACCTTCACGGCGCGATTTCCCAGCGAAACGGTATATCAATCTTCTCCAACCCCAATGAAACCACTTGTATGGTACGCCACGTGGAGCTTCGACTCAATTGATAGCAATCTGGGGGAAACTATTCCAATATTGATGTGACTACTAGTATAAATGTTGGTGCTAGATGCAGGTACTCCATACATTGGAACAAATGCTGGGGCCCATTGTATTGAACGGCATGATTCTGCCGATAATATACAGCAAAAATGTGCCTTGCAGCATTATTGACAGTAATTCGTGGCGCATATCGGAATTGATGGACCGGAGATTACATCCATTATTGACCTTGCCGTCTTGGGGGCGCCATTGAGGTCTTCACAATACCAACATCAATCCAACATGGAGTACATCACTCGAAACGGTTCGGACTCGGTGCCACCTATCCGCATTTCCATTGTTTGCAGAAAGGTTTCGTGTCATGCCGTGCCGTGTCTGGTGGGCGCTTATAGAGGAGACGAGTATCGTCTTCAATGAAAGTCGCATAGACTCGAGGAGTAGAATGATGATAAAAGTTCTTTTTGTATGTATTGGTGACAAAGGTTGGAGATGGGTTGGAGATGAGTTGAAGAACGTCTGTGCGCGAATGTGGCTCAGAGGGAGAAGTTCTTGGTGAGCCCACACGGGCCACACCACAACCACCATGAAACCAATAAATAAATCATCATGCTCTAGGGGAAGGAACGTTGGTGATATGTGAGAAGCGTTTATATTCGCTAACTATTACTTACTTCCCTGGGTATATCTGAAATGCAACCCAGAACTCCAACCTCTATGTATGCTACTTTTTCCAACGCCTTTAAAACGCTAAAATCATAGTGATCTTAAACTTCCAAAAACTCCTCCACCTCTATGCCGCTAAATTATAACGTATCCCGTTCTCACTTCTCAACTTTAACCTCATCTTTCTCTGCATGCCTAATGATCCCATCTTCCTCACTCTCTCCATGAACATTCAGCCTCCTCGCCTCTTGTTCTTCCACATCCTCCAGCCTCTGCTCCGCCTCATCTTCATTTGCAGACCCTCCCCTCATCTCCGCCAACACACGTGCCGCTTCCGCCGCAAACTTGCACTTCATCCGAAGAGATTCTCCATATTTGTAAAAGAGGAATGGGAACGGCAGGCAAGCCAAAGCGAGGAAGGCCGGGACGGAACTTGCCCAATGTATGCCTAGGTTATTGTACATATCTAATCATACAGTTAGTGATATCTTTGACACAGCCCTGGGCGATGCATATGATACATACAGGTAGTGAAGAGCGGGAAGCCCGCACCAAATAACGAACGAAGCACACTATTGGCTGCCAAAACGGAAGCGGCGTAAAGAACGTACGCATCAATAAGATAATTCATGATACTCAAGAATACCAACACCATACCAAAACCAAATGGGGCAGTGGCAATTATACTAACAATCCAATGAATCTTTGGAGAATTTGTCCATGCAAACCAAAAGAGCCCAACGGGTAAACAGATACTACCGATAATGGCAGGTGGCAGTCGGGCTTCGGGTGGAGCCGCATTATTATGCCTGGCGGCGGTAGCTTTGTATCGTTTGTTATCCCACAGGGAGTAAAGAACTGCGGCCATCATTCCAATTGCGACACCACAGAAAGCCAACCCACCAATGCCAGGACTCCATCCACGCTTCACTTGGTATACGATTGGGAATGCTCCGAACATCATATATAAAGTCCCATAAATGATTGCCATGTACAAGCTTAACAATAAAACAATGGGTTCTGTAAACAATAAAATCCAAGGTCTCGAAAGTGCCGTTTTGAATTCTGCAGATAGAGATTTAGAGCCATGGTCGACTTCTATTTTGGACTTGTAAATTTTGCCCGTCATCGACGACATCTTTTTAGCCCGGCGACGAAGAATGACTGGCGAATAGGTTTCCGGGATAGTGAGGGTACCGATGATCCAAATTGCTCCGGTGAAGATGGCCATAAGTCCCCTATGGATAGTGTTAGGATTTACTTCCAGTGATTGGTGTGGGTAAGTGCAACTTACTCAACCCATCTCCAACCTTCTGAGTCTCCCAAAAAGCCTCCCACAATAGGACCAATGACAGGACCTAAGAATGGTGCCGCGGCGAATATAC